TCTCTCATTAGATTTACAATCGAGGGTTGACATAACATTGAAAAATATTCTTGGAAAAAAGTTTAGGAAAATATACAGATAAGTGTCAATAACGAGTGTTGTTTCCACCTCTACCACATATAACAGCATCACATCGTCGGCCCACACTTAAAATTATGTGCCTTATTTTGTACTGGGCCAGTCCTCTCCAAACCTGAATCAGTCTCTCCCCCATTTTCTGCCGGTTGTTTGGTAGGATCAGATACTCTCTCAATCGCCTACCAAGGATAACCCAGATATTTTCTATTGGATTTAAATCCGAGCTATGTGCTGGCCATGTCATGATGTTAATTTCAACCTCTTCGAGGTTATTTCTGACTAGCTGTGCAACATGGGGTCTGGCGTTGTCTTGAATTAGTAAGAAATTTTCGCTGATATAAGGGGCGAATGGTACTGAGTATTACTCCAAGATCTCCATTATTTACCTTTCAGTTGTAACGGACCCATTGTGTCCGTACGTGTGGTCAAAGAAATACCACCCCACACCTTAATGGAGCCCCCACCAAATAATGTGGTTTGGGAGTTACATTGAGTATTTCATTCATTGGGACATCATAACTCACGAACACGTCTGTCGTTATTGTGTAAACAAAATCAGGACTCATTGGTGAATAAAACTCATCCCAGTCAGTCTCTAACCAATTGACGAGTTCCCTGGCAATACGTATCCTATCCCTTCGATGGTCTGCAGTTAATAAAGGACCCCGGGCAGTAATCCTAGGTGTTATGTTGTATTCTCTGAGTCGCGGGCGAACAGTTTTCGTACTGATTTGTATAGCATGGACGTTTCAAAACTGAATTTGTAGAATTCCATGTGTAGTAACAAACCGTTATCGAAGTGCCAAAATTCTCAAATATCGATCCTGAATAGGGGAAATTGCTCGATTTTATCCTTGCCCTGGTCTGGAAGTGTGATCGCCTGTTTCACGGAATATTTGCCAGATCTGTGTGATGGATATGTGGGACACATTGAATCGAAGACAAATTCAAATGCAAAAACTATTAACAAAAAAATATGCGTAACACTTTTTTCATATATCTTCTAAAGTTTTATAAAAAAAACACAAATTTATTGTGTTTGCAATAAAGCAAATAGTGAACACTCATTTTAGTTCCAACTTAGCTATTAGTTGAATGTATGTTAACCAGGTCAAATTTCTAGATATTAGCATAACTTCTTTTGGTAGGATGGAAAATATATTTAGCTTTTGGTAGAAATCTATCTACCCGGCATCTCTCAATGCATTTCAAAACCTAACAATTTCTTCTTGGTTTGACTAATGATCATAGCAGTCCATGCCTTGTACACGAAAAAAAAATCAAGTACCTATGTATTTCATTTGTAAACATTTGTCATGATTCAAAACTTTTCAAGTCAGTCATTTGCAATAAAAATTTCCAAACTTATCAAACATTTTTCCATTTCGACAAAATAGCACCTACAGGGATTGAATTTGGCATGAATATGTATTTATACAGTGCATTCTTAGCAATACGATGTCTTTTTCAGTTAGCCACTGAAAATGAATCAGATTACCCTCAGGCAGCAAATATTAAAAAAAAATTCTATGTAGAGGATCTTTTGTTTGGAAGAAATTCAATCGAAGAAGCAAAGTCCGTCTTTGTAAAGATGTGTTTCTGTACTAAAGTCTAGTTGTTTTGAATTACGAACGTTTTATTCAAACGATCCGAAGATATTGGAATATATTCGCGATCTACAACATGATTTGAATGTAGTTGATTGTGGAATCGATGAAAACGCTAAAACCTTGGGCTTAGCTTGGCTACGCCATTCATATATATGTTAGTATTCCAAATAAATATACCTACCGGATAACAAAAATGCTACAAAACGAACAATTCTCTCTTGCATTTTCACAATTTTCGATCCACTTGGCCTCCTCAGCCCAGTTACAATAACATCAAAAATCATCATACAAAAACAATGGTTAGAAAAGTTAGACTGGGATGAGCGCCTCCCTATGATCTGTGCGCCAATGTATAAAATGTTTTAGAAATAATCCAACATTAGTACAACTCATTATGGGAAACTTATCGAGTGAGAGATTGGAACCTCAGCCGCCATTCTATATTTGCGGAGTAGACTATGCCGGACCACTCATGATCAAAAATAAGAAAGGTCGCGGTTCAAAACTTTCCAAATGCTACGTCATTCTATTCATTTGTTTCGTGACGAAAGCAATACAGCTGGAGTTAGTTTCCGAACTAACGAAAGATTAATTTATTTTAGGGCTTCGTAGGCTTGTAGCGCGAAGAGGAAAACCTCTAGGAATATTTTCTGATAACGGAAAGAATTTCGTCTCTGCCAGTTCTGAACTAGCCGAGTTGGGTAAGTTCATTAAATCCCACTAACTCCAACTAACGGAATCATTCTCAATCGAAGGTATTGAATGGAAATTCATTCCGTCATACTCTTCGCACTTTGGAGGTCTGTGGGAAACCGGCGTAAAATCCATAAAATATAATATGAAACGAGTCATGGGAAACGCTCACCTCACTTTCGAAGAACTTTATTCTTTATTAACGCAAATCGAGGGAATACTAAATTCTCGTCCACTCACACCACTTTCCACTCATACATCAGATTGTTTACCTCTTACTCCGGCACACTTCTTAGTCGGAAGATCACTCATTGGGGTACCAGATGCAGATTTGAGAACCGTACCACAAAACAAATTGCCATCATATGAAAGGATGCAGCAAATCACTCCGCATTTCTGGGAAAGATGGAGCAAAGAGTTCATTTCCGAAGTTCAGCAAAGGCTCAAATGGAAAACGTCTCAACAACAATTAGAGACGGGAACTATCGTGTTGATAAAAGAGGACAACCAACCAACCACCCATAGTATGGAAGCTTGGAAGAATCAAGGCAGTGAGGCGTCTCCTTCCACTGTGTAGAGACCTTTGAAGAGAAATAGGTATCATCCATACAAAATTAAAATGGTACACCAATTAACTGAAGATGACCCTGATCGAAAAACAGAATTCTGCGAAATTATGACGGAAACCATTGAAAAGCATCCTACCTATTTCCCCAATATTTCTTTTAATGACGAATGTACATTTTTTTAACGTCAATGTTCACAGACAAAATTGCCGTTATTGGCGTGACATCAACCCTCGCGTTTTCCGGAAAACACATACCCAATATCAAAAAAAAATCAACGTTTTGTCAGGAATATTGGGAAACCATATTGTAGGACCTCTATTTATTGATCAAAATTTAACAGGGGAACAGTGTTTGAATATGCTGGAAACTACTGTTGACTCTCTCATCACAGAAATCGTCGAAGCGAATCCTAATGAATTCGATATGGATATTGTATTCCAACAAGATGGAGCACCACCACATTACTCCAGACAGGTAAGAAACTATTTGGATACTNTTTCGAGTCAATACAGTGGTGGCCTTTGGAGTAAACGCATGCGAGCATCTATGTTTTCCTCCGATTCGGATAGTGATATTCAAGAAAACCTTGCGTAGCTGCTAATGTTAAGTTTACTTAAAAATAAAAGAAGGAGAACATATTTGGTTCATCCAGTAAATGATCTGAGAGGTAGTCGAAGCGAATATCATTTACTAGTGAAAGAATTAGAGTGTGATGAAGAAAGATTTTATCAATATTTCAGGATGTCCAAAAAATCAATTTGAGATTTTACATTCTATGGTAGAAAATGATATTAAAAAAATGCAAACCCGTATTTTCAATACGTTCAATAAGTTCGTCCGATGTTTTGTGCACTAATAAATGTAAACGACTATTATCTAGCTAGTCACAATGACAAGTTGGTGCTCACCGAGTATAGGTAATATTTCATTCCCAAAATAGACTACATTTTCAAAAAGATACAAAATTTGCTCCTTACTTTTGGGAATAGAACCTATAGGATGAATATGCACATTCTATTACCACGGCCGGTGAAATGAAATAGCTAAAATGATAAAATAAATCATCGATTCATCAAAATTAACGGGAATGAAATCACCAGTTGATGTATTTAGCATTGGTCTCCAATGAATGTATATCTGATATTGAGTAATGAATTATTTCACCAAACAGAACTCACATATATTAATTTTATATTTTCTCCGACTACCCGGTAAGCAGCAAGTCGCCATTTCCAAATTTGCCGATGGCGTGGTTTCAGCAAAATTTCAATGTAAAACCGTAAGAATGTTAGACAAATACCATTAATGTTACTACTATAATATTAATTGAAATATTACCTAATATAAAAGTACAATACTCACATCATTCTTCTAGAAAAATTAATTGCAAGGCACTTATCATACACTACAGCCATTTTGAAGTTTGCTGTATGCTGGTAAAACAGGAAAGAACGGTGTAGGCAGGAACGATAGAATAATACGGTGTTGCCGGCGGGCAAAATTTAGAATCACCAAATCTATGAAGCAAAAATCACCAGGTTTGAAAAAATATCACCAGATTTCAGAAATTCTGCCTATTGACC